TTTAAGGAATTAGGTAATCAGGATGTGTCCCTCCAGGGAGAGAGTGCAAATTCTATTCCAATTAAATATTCCTGGAATTTCCATGCATGGGAGGCATGCAATTCTCAGTTTGATTTAGATAATCTTCAGCATGGTGATGGGTTTCAGCATGTGTCTGACACCCGTCTGACACCCAAAACATTTATGGGACACTGCTGTGCGGAAATTGGCTGCCCCCGATTTCCTACAAACACACAGTGACAAGTCTTTACAGAAAAACGTGCACCTCAAGATCTTCTTTGACATGACAAGGCAGTATAACAAATGCAAGTATTATTATTGTTTTTATTATTACTGTTGCATTTCCTTTTAAAGCACAAGCTACTGGACTCAGTATTATTTTTCAATCAATACCCCTGTTCAAGTCTCGTCTTCCGCATTTGAATAGTCAGGAAGCAACATTACTGCTGATGAATTTATTGATCACGTGACAGGCAATGAACGATTTATGGGAAGGTGGGGGTGGTAGGGAAAAAGAGCCAATTTTCTCGAAGGACAGGAATGTCCTTTTTTTTTAACCAGGATGTTCACTTCTCTGCGTGAGTTATGCAGAAATTCCATCTGTTGCGCATCAATCAAAATGATATTGTAAATCTGATATTGGTGGGTAGCTCTTTCCTTTATTATTGTACGTGTGTGGTTACACATACCACAGCACATTGCAGCCTACCCCACACATACACAATTTTGGAACATTATTCTCAGTTCATAATGCCCCCTTTCCGGCTTTCTGCACGTTCCTCATCCATCAGCAGACGTCCTTTCAGCCACTATGTCCCCAAACACTGGAACTCTGCCTCATCCCTCCACTTTGCCCCCTCCTTTCCCATCTTTAGATTGCAGCTGAGTACCTTCCTCTTTGACTGAGCCTACGGTCACCTCCTCCTAACTCCGGCTCAGCAAGAAGCTCAGCCACTGTTATGCGCTCCGAGACTCTTCCCTATGTGAAGGGCACTACATAAATTCTAGCTGTTGTTATTTGTAGGAACATTGCTGTGTGCAAATTGGCTGCCCCATTTGCCTACAAAATACACAGTTACTATACTTTACAATATATCCTGTGAAGCACATTGATTTGATTTATATTTGATGTAGTGCTTTTTACATCAGGAAACTTCCTCCTGACGCGTAAAAGCACTATATCAAATATAAGGATTATGATTGATATTTACTTCCATGTTTGACACTCTTTATTTACTCAGCCTCTCATATTAGGTACCTTGGCTATGACTCTTTCTCTCTCTCACGCTCTCTCTCTCCATCTCATACAAATGAGGAATCCCTTTGAAACATCCTCTTGTGTACCCACACCAAATACCTTCTGGGATTAGTTAAGTAGGGTGCATCCTCCCAGGGAGAGAGAGTGCACATTCTATTCCAGACACAGGGACATTTCCCTGTGTAGATGCCATACATATGTGGAACTCGTTGTCTGGTTTGATGTATAAAATAAAATATATATAAAGTAAAAAAGGTTTGGATATCTTAAGCACTCTGATAGGTTTCTACACGTGTTGGACACCTGGCTAATCAAAAAAAGACAAATCTCTGTGATATGTACAGAAAAGAACCCCCTGCCTGTAATATAATAAGCATTGTTAATGGTTTCCTTGCCAACTAAGTGAAACAACACTGTCTATAACACATCTGTATACAAGTAATATGGTTTTCATAGAACTCCTGGAATCTTATTTTGCACTGACTGTGCTAACAAACAAGGAAAAGGTTTTGCAAGTCCTTGCCTTGCAGAAAAGTGTAACAAAAGTCAAAAGAGTTCACGTTTTATACGTTTATAGGCTATTGTTCATAATAATAATCCTTGCATTTGATGTAGTGCCTTTCACGTTGGGATGAGTTTCATGTAAAGTGTAGTGACGGTGTATATTGTAGGCGAATGTGGCAGCCAATTTGCGCACAGCAAAGTCCCATGAAGTGAACAACTGGTTTTGTTTGGGGGATTGTTGGCCAGAACACCAGGGAGAAACTCCCTTCTCTTTGAGAATAGTGCCGTGGGATCTTTAATGTCCAACAGAACAGGCAGAGGGGGACCTGGGTTTAAATGTCTCAACCGAAGGATAGCACCTCTGACAATACAGTGCTCCACCAGCAGCTCACTGGGGCGTCAGTCTTTATCAGCCAAAGGCAGAATAAAACAACTGTGAATTCCCATTGTTAAGAGCACTTAATTCCGCACTCCATTCATTCTCCCCATCCTCTGGAGCTGTCTTGCAAACCCATTTCCCTTGTTACTTCTTTCCTTGTGTACTAATCTTCTCCCCGCTAAAAGCACAGCTTTTTGGCTGTGCCCTTTGGTCAACATCCTTTTAATTTATTTTCATTTCCTTTCTGGGTGCACACCCCTAACATTTGTCAAACTCTCTGTGGTCTTCTTGTAGGTAAAATAGATGCTATATAAATGCAAATTGTTGTGGCTACAGCCAACAATGCCTGAGTTTTTGTTAAGACTAGGAAGCTGTTAAAATGAGAGACCAGCTCCTTGATAAATGGTGATATAAATTGTGAGCAGGAATTTGCCTGTTATGAACACCAGCTGTATTTCTCCAAAGGCTTTAGTGGAGTCTGTCACATTTCCTATCAGTTTTTCCATCAACAAATATGAAATGACAGCAACTTGAGTTCTTCTCTGCAGTGGTATGATCGAGTTTCGCTGGTTGAAATCATTCACATGATTGATTTTGCGATAAAGCGTCTTAGGATTTGAGTCATTCTTCTGCAGTTTTCACCCTCATCAAACTGCGCAGGCCCATCACACCAGTCCTCGCCAGGCTCTATTGGCTCCCTATCACAGAATGGATCGACTTCAAATCTCTTCATACCCTGGCACCTCCCGACCCCTCCAACCTGCTTCCTCCCCAGACTCTAGCCAAGACTGGGAAACAGACGCAAGGGGCACGGGATCCCTTCCACGTGTTTTGCCTTTTTGTGATTCGTGGTTCTGTGAATCTCACTACAGATATCACGATCATGTTCCAGGTGCCCACACGAATGGAATCCAGTTTTGCGAGCATCTGTCTCAAAACCTATCACTTTGAACCCTCTTCTGGTTAACATTCCTCTCTTTCCTAACACCCCCCTCCCTCGACCCCCAGCTCCCAACCCCAGTTTGGGTGCTGAGCCGGGATTGTTAAATACCATGGGATGTCCTCCCAATGTAAAAGATGCTATCTATATTAATGTTAATCTGGAGTCCTGTATCTCAGTGGTTAGAGCACTCGTGTCGCAAGCGAGAGACCTGGTTTCGATTCCCGGCAGGGCGAAATGTTCAGCGAGTTTCCCTACTCCACACACTTCTATTTACCTAGCAGTAAGTAGAAACCCAGTTGTTGGTCGATTAGTAGATCGCTTTTCCGGGGTAATAATGTCTTCAAAAAAAATCATAATATAATAAATTAGTCACTTCAATCCACGACAGTTTGTGGGACACTGCTGTGCGCAATTGCCTACCGTGTTTTGCCCACAAAATATACAGTCAATTCACTTTAGTTGTTGTTGTTTGCAAACGGAGGAAGGAGCAGGAAAATCTGGATATGATTTCTGGCACATGCAGCAGTAACGGTACAAACAACAACGAAAAAACTGGCAATCAGACTGCAAGTGGGTGGCTTTAGTGCTGCAGAGATCCCAACAGTTGGAAAGCTTCAGCTCGGTCCTAAAGGACTTGCACTGCCCTTGTCCATCTGCTTTCACAGTACACACTGATAACAGCTGTGGTATCTCACCTACACTATGAAATCAAATGAACGTGTTACAGTAATTGAAACAAGGAGGCTCAGGTTCCAATGTCAGAGGGTTCGGAGGACAGTCACAGCTAAAATTAAACTACGAGCGTTAAACTGCACTTGAACTCAGTCTTGGCTTACATTCCCAGTGCAGTGCCAGGGGCATGCGTTACATTGTCAGAGGCGCTGTCCTTCAAATGAGACGTTAAACCGAGGTCCCGTCAAGTGGGCATTAAAGATCCCGTGGCAGGAGAAGGGAGTTTCTTCTGGGGTCCTAGCCAACAATCCCCCCCACAAATAAAAATTGGTCACTCACGTCATGGCTGTTTGTGGGGCACAAATTGGCTGCTGCATTCATCTACAAATACTACAAATAGTCATCATACTTCGCAGTAAAATCTGTGTAGCCCTTTGAGATGTCTCGACAGCGTGATAAGGTGCTATATCATTACATTACAAGGATTACATTACATTGCTTTCCTACATTATATCTGTGACCAGTCCACCTACAGTGGGCTCCACCCACACTTGATGTTAACATGTCAGGAACCATAAGCAATCTAGCGTTACAATGTGACCGTGCAAAGAGATCTCATTCAGGGCAGAACATATGATCGGCTTTCTACCATATAATGGGTGCAAATGAGGGAGAGAAGGGAATAACAGAGAAGGAAGTAAGATAGGGGTGGGTGGGGGAGGGTTAGGTTAGGTGAAGAGTCATGTAGAGTACAAACTCTAGTGCGTACCGACTGTTTAGTAGCTGTAGATTCCAAGTAATTGCAACATAACATCTCACCAGGCATAATAATAATAATCCTTGCATTTGATACAGCACTTTATCACGTCATTGAGACATCTCAAAACACTTCACAGAATACACTGTAAAGTGAATTGACTGTGTATTTTGTGGGTGAAACGTGGCCCCCAATTGCACACAGCAGCGTCCCACAGACAGTCGTGGATTGAGTGACCAATTTTTGGGGAGTGATTATTATCACCAGAAAGTGATCACCCAACAATTGGGCTTCTACTCGCTGCTAGGTAAACAGAAGCATGTGGAGTAAATTAACCTGCCTACGGTTTTGCCCCTGTCCAGGAATCGAACCCGGGTCCTCACATGGCGAACGCGCTAACCACTGTGCTACAGGACTCCACGCATACAGCCAACTCGGTTCAAGTTCGAGTTATTACCCCTGATTATTTTTTCCCTTTCCTTCTCAGTGGGAAGAGATCAGTGGCGTGGATGAGCACTACATCCCAATCCGCACCTACCAGGTGTGCAACGTGATGGAGGCCAGCCAAAACAACTGGCTGAGGACCACCTGGATCCGCCGGGACTCTGCCCAGAAGGTCTACGTGGAGCTTAAGTTCACCCTGAGAGACTGCAACAGCATCCCTCTGGTCCTGGGCACCTGCAAAGAAACCTTTAACCTGTATTACATGGAGTCTGACCAAGATCATGTGCTGAAGTTCAGGGAGAGCCAGTTTGTCAAGATCGACACCATCGCTGCGGACGAAAGCTTCACCCAGATGGACCTGGGGGACCGCATCCTCAAGCTGAACACCGAGGTGCGGGAGGTGGGGCCGATGAGCAAGAAAGGGTTTTACTTGGCCTTCCAGGACGTGGGCGCCTGCGTGGCTCTGGTGTCCGTGCGTGTCTTCTTCAAGAAATGCCCTTTCACCACACGGAACCTGGCCATGTTCCCCGACACGGTGCCCGGCGTCGACTCCCTCTCGCTGGTGGAGGTCAGGGGATCCTGCGTCAACCGCTCCAAGGAGGAGGACCCTCCCCGAATGTACTGCAGCACCGACGGGGAGTGGCTGGTGCCCATCGGGAAGTGCCTGTGTGACCCCGGCTACGAAGACAGAGGAAACACGTGTCAAGGTAACCATTAGTGAAATTATACTATAAAACCCCCCTGTGGAGACCTACAGGATATTGGTCAGAGCTCTCGCCTTGCAAGCTAAAGGACCCGGTTTCGATTCTTGGGTAGGGAGAAACCTTACGCAAGTTTTCTTCCTCCACACGCCTCAGATTACCCAGCAGTAAGTAGGAACCTGGTAGTTAGTCGATTGGCTTTCCGGAGGTGATAATCTCTTAAAAAATTAATCATAATCATTTGGTCACTCAATCCAACACCTTTTGTGGGACACTGCGGTGTGTATTTGGCTATCACCCACACAATATTTAGTCAATTCACTTTAAAGTATATTCTGTAAAGCACTTTGAGACGTCTTAACGATGTGGTAGGGCGCTATTTCAAATGTATGGATTATTACTTATATGTATAGTATAGATTATATATTATAACTCCCAGATTAGCACTTTTTTGGAAAGTTTTTTTTGAGCCCGTTAGCGCTTTTAGCAGACTGGTGGCGGATATCCTTGTGTGTGTACTAGTTTCTAATTGTTTTAACCTTTAGTCTAAAATTTGTGACCAAATGCTATGCTTTATCCACTGTCACCCACTGAATACCTCTTCAAATCTGACTCCAGACAGTAAGACCTTTAAGCCACTGTTAAACTAAGTCAATTCTGTTAATGGAATTCCAGAGCCTTCGGAAATGATATTGTTCCTTCCGTTGTGCAATAACTTGGCAAAAAGTGTCAGCCTGGCTTAGTCGGTAGTGCTCTTGCCTCTTGAGTCAGAAGATTGTGGGTTCAAGCCCCACGTTGGGACTACGGGTTCACACAGTGCAGACTGATGCTCCAGTGCAGTACTGGGGGGTGGGGTGGTCACTGTCGGAGGTGTGGGACTTCAGATGAGACGGTCAACCAAGATCACGATCCCTTGTTCAGATGGACTGCTTGAAAAGAGAAGACTGTTTATTGATGCTTATTGATTCTTTGCGAATTTTCCACAATGAGCACTCACCATTCCCTTGGGTGGGGTGGAGTGGGGGGGAGGGGTGGAGGGGGGGGAGTGGGGGAGGGGGAGTATGGCTACACATTAGGTGCTTTTGTGGGCTTTGAGTGTCTTATGAGGGATTGGATTATGGTTCTAGTTTCGAGTGCTCCCTCACTGAGAAACGCCGGTAGTTTTTTTTAATGTACTGCCCGTCATGTCGTGGCCTAAAACAAACCATTTTCTAGTCGAACACAGCGCGCTCAGAATACATCTCTTGCCTGTGGTTATTGTTTGGTCCGGGGTCACTGTCATGCTGCAATACTGTGCGTATTGTCGAGCTTTGCATAAAAATGTAAGTAAATATTGCTTCAGGATGGATTCCAAGCAAGCTGTACTTCCCATCGCAAACGCAGTTTACCCTTGGCTCCATCTGGTAACACGCTTACACTACAAGAGAATTTACTTTCAATGTAATTACTCCGAAAGTCCCAATATTCTTATCAGGTGCAGATAAGGCTCAGTTGGCTGATTTGAAGGCAACATCAGCTCCTTGAGTCAATACTTCCCTCAGGATTGTTCGGGCTTCAGATTAAAACAATCGCTGCTTGAAAATACCGACCCACCTCCTCTCTCTCACCAAACGAACGGTGGCATGGATGTGTGTGAACAGCGCTGTTATTTGTTTTACTTTAACTTGTGTTTTAGCCTGGGTTAGCTGGTAGCTCTCTCACTTCTGAGTTAGAAGGTTGCAGGTTCAAGCCCTTTTCTTAGGACTTACATACTCTAGGCTTGCGCTCCAGTACAGTGCTGGGAGGGGTGCTGCTTTGTCAGAGGTGCCGTCCTTCAGATTAAACATTAAATGGCGGTCCCGTCTGTCTGTTCAGGTGAACGTTAAAGCGCCCAAGGCACTACTTGGGAAGAGAAGGGAGTTACTCCCAGTTTCCTGGCCGACAATTCTCCCCATATAAAATTGGTCACTCACTCATTGGCTTTATGGTATATTACGTGAAGCAGTTTGAGACATCCTCATGATGTGGAAGATGCTATACCAAATGAAAGGATTATTATTATTAAATAGTCTCCAAGGAAGATATCAAAGCATTTGACATGTCAATGGTGCATGCCTAAGCAGCAGCTCACTTCAATTTGACTTGAAGATCTATAGCACCCTTGTGGTTATGCTGCCTTTTTGTAAGGTAAAATACAGGGCTATTTCAGCGATTTAAAAGCTCTGTGAAGGAAACGCACAGTGCTGCTCCTTTTTCTGAAGTCGACACAAAGAGTGCGGTCGGAGGGATCGAGGGAGAAGTCTTGATTTTCCGTTTCATTTCCTCCCAGTGTTTTAAAAGCATTGCAGTGAAAGCAGCAGTGGTTGTAGCCACTGCTGTCATTGGTACATAATCCATTATTAGCTCATTCTAGTTCTGGGATAATTGTTCCTTTAAACAAGTGGAAGGAAGCCTCTGGCCTGCAATTGTTCTGAGATGTGTAGATCAGTCAACCAGTTAATGTCTAAAGTATCGCTGAGCAAAAGATGGCAAGCTCCACATTTCTGCTGTTTCCTCCAGCCCACACACTCACTGGAAGCCAAGCGGTGTGGGACGCCAGCAGAGATTTGTAACATCATGCACACAGAGAGAGAAGGGGGTTTGTTCCTGTGTGTCCTGGCCAATAGTGCCCCGAGTAAAATGGTCATTCACTTCATGGCTGTTTGTGGGACATTGCTGTGTACAAACTGACTTCCGTGTTCAGCTGCAAAATGCACAGTACAACTTATCCTATGAAGCGTTCGGAGATGTGAAGGAACCTATCTGAAACACAAAGATTATTGTTATTTATACTGATAGGATTATGCTGGTTATGGTAGGATTATGCTGCTATCTTAGTTTAGTGGTTAGAGTATTCTCCTCACAAGCAAGAAGTCCTGGGTTCGATTCCTGGGCAGGGCGAAATGTTGGGCAAGTTTCCTTACTCCTCACGCCTCTGTTTACCCAGCAGTTAGTAGGAACCCGGTTGTTAGTCAATTAGCGATTTGCTTATCCGGGGGTAATAATCGCTTCAAAAAAAATAATAATAATAAAAATAATAATAATGGTCACTCAATCGACGACTGTTTGTGGGACACTGCTGTGCGCAAATGGCTGCCTCGTTTCGGCCATAAAATATACAGTCAATTCACTTTACAGTATATTCTGTGATGCGCTTAGAGACATCTTGAAGACATGATAAGCGCTAAATCGAATGCAAGGATTATTCTTATTATAGCTTCTCACGACTCCACACTAAGGCGAAGCAGAGCTCTCCACACATACTCTGATATCCATACCTTGCACTCTGCTCATCTGTGGACAAAAGCTAGTTAAACTGTTAAAGTTAGTGAATATTAAAGATTGGCACTAAACCGTAGGACTAGGGCATTGTGGATGTTAACTTGGCTCAGCTGACAGCATTCTTACCTCCAGCTCAGGCTGGTGTTGGTTCAAGCGCTACTTAGGGATTTGGGCTCAGAGACTGGCCTCACATCCTAGTGCAGTACCTTCGAATGAGATGTTAAATGAAAATTTTGTCGGCCTGTTCAGGTGGACCACAAGGATCCCACGACACGATTGGAGATAATTTCTCTCGATATTCAGATATACTCCAAATAAATAGGCTCTTCCTGTCGCAGGTCTGTGACACTATTACGAAGGCCCATGAGTTATTATTGCAATAAGTTATAATAATAATCCTTAATAATAATAATAATTTGATATAGCGCCTTATCACATCTTCGATACGTCTTAAAGCACTTCACAGAATATGCTGTAAAGTGAATTGACTGTATATTTTGTGGTCAATATAATGCCGTTCACATCGGGAGTGAAATGAATGCCCCCATTTTTCTGGGGGATTATTGGCCTGGACACTGGGAAAAACTCCCTTTTCCCCATTTTGAGGTGTCTGACATGGGCAATATTGTGACTCAACATTGAAACACTATAGGATGTGGCAGCTCAGTTCCGCAGACCATACAAGGTCAGAGATCACCTTCATGATGTCCGCGTGAGGGGAGGAAGGTTAACAACAGGCAACAAACCCAGTTTTTCTTCCTTTTGATGGAAGGATCAAAGCATTATTCCTCTTGTGTTGCCCCGACCGCTCTCACCAACTTTGTTCCCTCCGTTTCCTTGCCACCAGAGGCTTTAGGCAAGGCACTGGGGGTGGCGTTTCAACTGCACAAACTGCTATCGTTGTGCACTAAAGAATGTAACCTGGGTTCCTCTTTCGGCATGGGCCCTACGGGTGAGCTATTGACCGAGGACCTGGTGTCCAACATAGAGTTTGCTAGCAGACAGCAGGACATGTGACTATGATGGATGAGACCCCTTTAGTTCTGTCAGCGGCAAATGGCAGAGATGTGAATGAGAGTACGCTTCAGTAAGCCATTGTGAGCTTCGCCACAATAGGGAACGATTCAAGCGGTGCCATCCTGTAGCCTGCCGGGAGCTCGTCGAATAAAAAGCCCAATGTTTCCGAATGTTTTGGGAAGACTTTGATTGCGGTCAATATTGTCTGGAAATATAAATGAAGGGACTGTGGGAATGCGAAAAAAAAACAAAAAACAAAATCAAACCGAAATGCCCAAAACTTTGCGGATAATGCGCCTCTTTCCCGCTCTTCACACGAACGGGAAAGTTCGTGCTGGGGCACTTCCGAATGAAGTCTTTGCCCCTTTGTGCTCTCCACGGTGGTGGGTTTTAAAGAAAGTGGGACTTCTATGCGGTGATTCTTGTTTGCAAAGGCTCCTCTGTAGAGCTGGGCCGTCATTTGCTTTAACAGATCCACCAGCCTGGCTGACTTTAACGGGCCCTGAGGAGATTTATGTGGCCACCCCTCACTTTTGCAAGGAAAAGGACTTGGTCCCCGCAATCCCCCTCTGCTTAAGTAATATCCCTACGTAATGGTTAGCGCGCTCGTCTTGCAAGTGAGAGGACTCAGGTTCGATTCCCGGGCAGGTGAAACCTTGGGTGAGTTTCCTCACTCCACACGCCTCCGA